TAGCCTTGTGCTCAAAATTCACAAAGCTTTAGCTTGTCAGCTCTGGGAATTCTCTGACTTTCCTCTGAATATTAGTTACATAATAGCTTGAGCTAAGCAATCAAAGCAGTGATAGGTCAAAAGGAAGATTTGCCTGAGGTGATGCAGGAAGTTGATGGCAGAGCTTGAAGCTGAATACACATTTCTCTGCAATTCTGACAGCACAAAAACCAATACAGCCTCCTTGACTGTTTGGATTTTGTTGGCTTCTTTCCAAAGAAGCACTATTTCTGAAGCCAAAGCTACAAAATGCAACGGCATTGAAAGAGCTAATAAAACAAAGAGGTATCCCCAAATGGCACTGTTTCCTAGTTCTCAGTGGCACTTCCATATTACTAATAAATTATATATCTTACAATCAATGTTTTCTACATGCATACTGTATTTTGTGTCATTTCAACTGCCTGTGAATGTGTACAGTTCTTGAGATACTAAGAGGAGTGTGCTAAGCCCAGTCTTTCTCTTGGATTTTACACTCTTCACCTTCAAAATAGTTAGCTCCAAAAATGCCAGGTTTTGGTACTGACATTTCTAGTTACAAAAGATAGACTTGAAAGTCATTGTTCAGTCTCTTTGCGTCTATTTGGAAGGACTACATGACAACTACTGAAAATTTTAGTTGGTAAGTGGTGGCGACAACAAATACAGCACCAAAATTTAGAGGGATGAATCCAACATTTTTTGACATTGCACAACAGTGTAACACTTACTTGTCAACAGTGCAGAACGCAGTAAATAGACTATCAAGGAACTAAGAGGGCCAGGACTCCCAAGTCCCACACTTCTGAGGTGACAGCAGTGATGGAGATGGCACATCCTGCACTTCAAATTGCATTCTTCAGGTTCTTTAGGGGGTATGATTTATCTGTGACTAATTAGGGAATGGGCCAGGTATCTCAGTGTTACTCTTCTCCATGTTATAATATTCTTAGAAATTTCCAAATTTTTCTCCCGTGAGTTTATCTGGCATCAGCTTATTGAGAAAATGCCTTCCGAATTGAACATGAAGAGTCAAGTATTTAAGATCTGAAAAACTGTGAAATAGGCATTTAATTAATAAAAAGGATGGTTATGAGTTATACTGATATTCATTATTATTTGCATTATCAGAGTCTAGGCATTGCTGCTTATAAAGATGATGCTTCATGGTACTTGGAATAAAGGAGTAAAAAGATGTTTCTGTCCCTGGAAATCTATCGTTTATGACAATTGATAGCTGATGGATCCTGACTGATGGGGAAAAGAAGGGCATTAATAAAAGAATTATCATTGGCACAATAGTAATACCCCACCACAGATGTGTGAAGTTCCTATAGCCATGAGGAATGGCTGCTCAAAAGCAATTACAGTGAAATTTTATAAAGCAGAGGCAAAGCTGTATGTATGTTGAATGCCCTATCTGGATCTCCATTTCTCTTTAAAGAAGTTCATCAGAAACTGTTTTGCTAAAGAGGAGCGTTTATAAAAGTTGCTTTTTTTACAGAAGTCATCGGGAACATTATGAGGACATGGGTTCTCAGTCATGAGTCAAGGCTTGTCATAATGAATTACAAATTCTATACTGATTCTGACATTAAATTAGAACAGTTTCTTTGAGTTATTTCTCTGAGCACTCCAAAGAGACATACTATGAACTTATAATAATTGCCCACTGCTCTTTTATCTAAACTTAGGCACACACCTTTGCCACTGACTGGGCAGTAAATAAGACTGGGCTCTGCTTAGGAACTACCTAGTGCAACAAAACAGCCTAATATGCAATTTTTACAAGCAGCCTTATTCAAAGCATAAAAAAGAGAAAAACTGGGATGAGCTAAGATCTTGGGGAGTGCTCTCACTTAATTACCTGTTAACACTTTCCTTAGATTTTTGTTTGTTTGTTTTACAAGGCCACAGGCTGCTCTCCACCGTATAAAACTGCTTTAACTGCATTTCTCAGAGTAGGAATTGGTTATGATGGCACATACTAGTACTGTTATCACAAGGACCTAAATCTGAAATGATGCAAACTCATGGTGACTTCTTCTACTCATTTGTAGAAAAAAAGATCAGACGACCAGCCCAAATCGGTGTGTTTCTGTACTCTCACTTCAGTGGAGCCGCAGTGAGGGCAGTGGCCGCTGCTCCCTCTGCTGACATCCTCACGGTCCCCTTTATCGGACCTCGGGCACTCCGGGGCTCCGGCTGGGAGCCGCCCTGGGGAGCAGCCGGCACCCCCGGCCGGGGCTCCCGGGAAGCGCCCGGCCCCTCCGCATGCCTCCAGGCCCAGGCCGGTCTGGGGAGCACGGCTCCCGGGGCCACTGGCGGGGCCCGCGGCCGCCCGGGCTGCCGGCAGCGGCTGCGCCCCCGAACTGATGGGGAAAAGAAGGGCATTAATAAAAGAATTATCATTGGCACAATAGTAATACCCCACCACAGATGTGTGAAGTTCCTATAGCCATGAGGAATGGCTGCTCAAAAGCAATTACAGTGAAATTTTATAAAGCAGAGGCAAAGCTGTATGTATGTTGAATGCCCTATCTGGATCTCCATTTCTCTTTAAAGAAGTTCATCAGAAACTGTTTTGCTAAAGAGGAGCGTTTATAAAAGTTGCTTTTTTTACAGAAGTCATCGGGAACATTATGAGGACATGGGTTCTCAGTCATGAGTCAAGGCTTGTCATAATGAATTACAAATTCTATACTGATTTTGACATTAAATTAGCACAGTTTCTTTGGGTGATTTCTCTGAGCACTCCAAAGAGACATACTATGAACTTATAATAATTGCCCACTGCTCTTTTATCTAAACTTAGGCACACACCTTTGCCACTGACTGGGCAGTAAATAAGACTGGGCTCTGCTTAGGAAATACCTAGTGCAACAAAACAGCCTAATATGCAATTTTTACAAGCAGCCTTATTCAAAGCATAAAAAAGAGAAAAACTGGGATGAGCTAAGATCTTGGGGAGTGCTCTCACTTAATTACCTGTTAACACTTTCCTTAGATTTTTGTTTGTTTGTTTTACAAGGCCACAGGCTGCTCTCCACCGTATAAAACTGCTTTAACTGCATTTCTCAGAGTAGGAATTGGTTATGATGGCACATACTAGTACTGTTATCACAAGGACCTAAATCTGAAATTATGCAAACTCATGGTGACTTCTACTCATTTGTAGAAAAAAAGATCAGACGACCAGCCCAAATCGGTGTGTTTCTGTACTCTCACTTCAGTGGAGCCGCAGTGAGGGCAGTGGCCGCTGCTCCCTCTGCTGACATCCTCACGGTCCCCTTTATCGGACCTCGGGCACTCCGGGGCTCCGGCTGGGAGCCGCCCTGGGGAGCAGCCGGCACCCCCGGCCGGGGCTCCCGGGAAGCGCCCGGCCCCTCCGCATGCCTCCAGGCCCAGGCCGGTCTGGGGAGCACGGCTCCCGGGGCCACTGGCGGGGCCCGCGGCCGCCCGGGCTGCCGGCAGCGGCTGCGCCCCCGAGTAGGAATTGGTTATGATGGCACATACTAGTACTGTTATCACAAGGACCTAAATCTGAAATGATGCAAACTCATGGTGACTTCTTCTACTCATTTGTAGAAAAAAAGATCAGACGACCAGCCCAAATCGGTGTGTTTCTGTACTCTCACTTCAGTGGAGCCGCAGTGAGGGCAGTGGCCGCTGCTCCCTCTGCTGACATCCTCACGGTCCCCTTTATCGGACCTCGGGCACTCCGGGGCTCCGGCTGGGAGCCGCCCTGGGGAGCAGCCGGCACCCCCGGCCGGGGCTCCCGGGAAGCGCCCGGCCCCTCCGCATGCCTCCAGGCCCAGGCCGGTCTGGGGAGCACGGCTCCCGGGGCCACTGGCGGGGCCCGCGGCCGCCCGGGCTGCCGGCAGCGGCTGCGCCCCC